CGCGCACCAGCTGCTCCACGTGGTAGCCCACGGCGCCCACCACGAGGGCCACGGGGAACGTCACGTAGGGCGCGTAGGTGCGCAGCGTGGCCCAAAGCAGCGGCCACATGGCGGCGGGCGGGTGCGGAGCACCCACGTGCGGCTCCGCACCCCCAGCGCTTCCGGGTGGGCCCCGCTGATTGGATTGGCTGCCGGCGCTGCTGAGGACACAGCGGGCAAGAGCGGCCGAGGCGGGCAGCGCCTCACGCCGCGCGCCCCCTGCCGGGCAGCGCGGGCGGCTCAGGGCTGGAGGGCCGTAGAGGCACGGCCTGGGGGCGTCCCGGGGGTCCAGGGGTGGGGCGAGGGCAGGGATCCTGGTTCTCTAGGGTTCAAAAAGTCCCCAGTTTTCGGTTAAAAAAAGGAGCACCCCATAACCCACATTTCTCTGCGATTTAAATAAAACACCACGAAAGAGAGAGCAAGCGTGTGTGCGTGTGTGTGTAAAAGCCCAAAAAGTAACCTCCAATGAACGTTTCTCCATGATTTAAATGAAACGCCACTAGTGTGTGTGTGTGTGTGTGTGTGTGTGTGTGTGTGTATACATACACACGCACACACATATATATATGTAGATAGATATTGTACATATATGTGAATGGATAATTTTTGAGGCAGCTAAGTCCCTCTCAGGGAGTCTTAACCACCTTTTGGCTTTGCTGCTAGTGTCCTCACTCACTCACTGGCAAGTTACAGTGAACAATATAAAGTAAATAAGAAGGTGTATTTGCATGCTTAGTTGCATATTTTTTTAGTGTACAATGGTTTTTCAGAAAATATAATGATTTTGAGCTTCCAGTATGATAACTTTATATTTAAGACTTGGCAATGCTCGTGGTTAGTGCCCTGAGTGGGCCGGGCAGGACTTGAGGGGGCTTCAAATCTGATTTCCGTTGGGTTCGAAGCACATTGAATCTTCCATGTGATTCCAATAGATCTCAGCATGGATCTCAGGATAGATCTCAAATAGATCAGACAGATCTCAAAGAGACTGGATCCAACCCACCATGGCCTTCCCGAGCTCCCTGAGAACAGCTCCAGTATATTCCCCATAGTCAAGAGGGGAGTGAAAGTGAGGACCTGGTGTTGCCCAGGTCATAGTGCTATCGCCTCATTCATGAATGGCCTTATCCATGGCGGAGAAGTCGGGCTGGCAGGGGCCTCCAGAGGTCACAGCTAGCCCAACCCCTGCCCCAGGCAGGATCAGGCGTGTCCAAACCATCCTACACAATTTATCATCTACACACTCTACATAAGATGACCGTGACACAACACAGATATAACCCAAACCTGCCGCAGGGAAAGCAAGGGGAACCACAGCAGCCAACGCCCTGCTTCTAAGGTTGTCAAGAGACCCCAGGGTAGATGACCTTACTAATTCCAGTCTGAGTCTAGCAAGGTTGGGAAGCACTGCAATGGGCACTCTGGGGCATCAGTCCCTGCAGGGACGCACATGCACACAAAGGTGCCCCTACTCCGCTCCCTCTCTCTGTCTCTGATACCTGCTGAGATGCTTCCTTCATCCTTCGCTCTGCGAGGGAGTCTGCAAAGCCTGACACCTCCATCCACTCCCCTTGGAATGGGATTTCCTACCCCTCGCCTTGCTCAGGGCACAGGTGGAAATAAACCAGCCAAAAACAGCCTCCCTGGGGGGGTGGGGAAGCCATCTGGACCTGCTGCCAGTCACAAGTTTGGGCCAGGCTGCGCTGGGGCTTGGCCCCAAGCAAAGCTGCAGAAGGCAGGCAGCTGGGAGAAGGACTGGCAGGCAGACACTAGTCCTTGACTCCTTTCCTGGCCCTCCCAGTGCTGCTGAGGTGGTGGGAGCATCCCACACCAGCCCCTCTCCAGCCAGATGCCAGTGCCAGGCTCAGTGCATCAAAGCTCTGCTGTGGGCAGCCTGGCAGCACTGCCTACAAACAGCCAAGCACCCTAGGAGACAACACAAGGGGACTGTCCCTGCAGGGAGCTGGTGTGAGGAGGGGTGTCCAGACGGGTCCAGGACCTTCCTCTGACTCCACTGCTAGCAAAGACAGCTCTTTAGACTGACCCATACAGTCAGGGCTACTAGACAGCCCAGGGAGAGCTACCCAGTCAGGGCTAACGCCAGGCCTTCAAAGGGCTGTAATCATGGAGATACCCCCACGCTAGGAATGTGCTGGCAAGAGCCAAGCCCCAGGCTATGCACACGCCTTGTTGCCCCCCACCCAGCTCTCCCATTGGGGAGGTGGGTGAAGGGGAGGTGGGTATAAGCACCAGTTCTGCCGATCCCCTTGCACCCTGACCCGCAGGGCCACTGCCGTTCCAGACCTGTTCTCAGCCTTTCAACCCAGCTCTGCCCAGGGAGTGACTCAGACATGAGGCCCTTGCTGGAGGTTGGCAGGGCCCCACTTCCAGACTCAGCCAGAATATCCTGGGCCCAGCCCAGCTGCTTTGAGAAGCTGACTGGTAAGCACTGAATTCAACCCGTACCCCCACCTTGCAGTCACCTCGGCCAGGACAGGCACCGGTGATTCTGCACCTTCCCCAACATGACCAACAGCTGCTTTTCTCCCGCCGCTCCAGCCGGACTGCAAAGCGCCCCTGACCCCGGCCGTGCCCCAAAATCAGACGACCAATGAGACACAGGATGCAGAGCTCAAAGGTGAGAGTAGCGCCGGCTGCCTCCCCTGTTGACGGGGAGCCTCACGCCGGGCCTGGAGTAATCAAAGAGTCGTCTTTATTACATTACGGTTAAGTTTGTTACAATAAAAATGGAACCACATGGCACGGTCACTGTACAGTATTGTCGTATAGAACTGACAGGTGGAAGGGCTTCCTCTTCCAGGCACATTGCTAAGAACTAAGTTGGATGGAGGCAGGGAAGAGGTGAAGCGCTCTGTTGACTGCCTGTTGCTTTCCTGGCTGGGATCGTAACAGTGGCGTTGAAAGGGACTGGCCGCTGCACGCAGAATCGGCTGCCTTGGCTCTCCCCGGCAGGCGGATCTCACGCCGAACGATTCATCTTGTGACTAAATGTGCTGAGATAAACTTCTCCCTCACCCGTCCCTGCAGTGATGTTAACTGAGTCGTCGGAGGCCACAATATGCCTCTTTAAACCCTAACACCCAGACAGGTAGATAACAGCCCGCAGGGAGGTTTGAGCGCCAGACCCTTCGTTCTTGGCAGCATTACATGCACCCCCCCAACCCCCTCCCCACCCCCTGGCTGAACAAGCCACTAGAGCCGGGATCGCCCCCACCTCTCAGCATGTCCCGCCGGCGCCATGTGCTGCATGGAGGTATCCCAGTGGGCCTCAGGCAGCAAGTCCTGTTGGACCGAAGTGCATTATTTGTGTTACAGTGGTTCCCCCCCACCCCCCAGTAGTGCTAGGTGCTGCACACTCCTGAAAAGCCAGTTCCTGCCCCATGAACACCCAGCCTAGGTGACACTGCTGCTTCCCTTGCTGCAGGAG